CTTCCTTGTGGTGTTTCTTGGATGGCTCATGAGTTGGATTATGTTGCCGACAAAGTTATACAAAAATAGGAGGACTCCCAGTGCCAAGCTAGACAGCAAACTTAATTCAACATATTTTGCAGCACAAGGTTGTTTTCGATTATGCTTTCCTGTCCAGATAACTAGCTTAAATCATTCGCCCAATTGAATTTTTTTTTTCCTACCATTGGTACAGGCACAAATCTTCTGCTCTTTTCTTTCCCTGTCGTTTTCATAGCTGCCTTAGGGTCTGTTTATCTCCATTTACAGAAGAAGCTGGAAAAGCCAAACTCCAAAAGGTTGTCTTTCATCAGTTCTTTCTAGTGTTTTGATATTAAAGAGAAAAATGTAATGCTTCGGAGATTATCACATTACTGTACATTATACTTGTTGCAGTGTTGTTACAAGAAATCGTTTGTCCTTCTTAAGACGTCCAGCAATTGTGATGGCTCCTTTGGAATTGTGACTGCAATGGAGCTTGCTTTTGCAGCCATGTTTATTGCACTCTTGATCTGGTCTCTTGCCAACTACTTGTATGTCAATTTTGGGCATCTCTACATGCATAAAGTAGGGGAGAAAGTGTAAGATCCCTTTCATCTTTTTGTTCATTCTCACTGTAGCTAGAATCCATTTTGCATGAAAAGAACTAATTCTTCATCTTCTACTTCTTCAAAATTCATACATTGACATGTTTCTTTTCGTCCATTAATCGGCTTTTGCAGGTGGAAAGCTAAGTTTCGAAGTGTGTCATTGAGACTTGGATATGTTGGAAACATATGCTGGGCATTTCTCTTCTTTCCTGTCACACGAGGATCTTCGATTCTGCCTCTCGTTGGGCTTACATCTGAATCCAGTATCAAGTATCATATCTGGCTCGGTCATCTTTCCATGATTCTTTTTGCTGCACATACCGTCGGTTTCATCATATACTGGGCGATGACTAATCAAATGGCTCTGGTACTTGAAATTACTGCTAATTTATCTAACTAGACTTTCGTGGTCAATAATATTGTGGCCTTTAGCTATTGTGTGTTTATACTTTTTATCCTATGATTCTGATTGTTTTGTCCGCAGAATATCTGATCAAAGGTGTGGAATTCCTTCCAACTTTTTGGGTGATTAGAGCTTTATCATCAATCTTTTCTTGCAAATCAATCATGTTGTCTTTCTTGTTGGACAGAAGGGAGGGACCATGAAAGTGGTCTTAGATTCCTTTTGCTCAAAACTTTTCTTTCTTTGTCATGTTAAAAGTGAGGGGAAACAGCCCTGTATATATATATATATAACGGGACAGTGTCTAGAATGAAAGCAATTATGTCTTTATATTTTAAATGAATTTGCATTTTTTTTTTTAATTTTCTTATTAAATCATTGAAAAATCGGAACAAGTGACATGACATGCACATAACTAATTTTTTTCAAACATGTCTCTCGAATGAATATGTGCATGTCATTTTTTTGTTTTTCTGAAATATTTTCGAGGAAAAATTAATAGTGTGCAATTCACATATATATATATTTTTTTTAACAAAAACACAATTTACTCATTTTACAATATAAAAACATATTGAATACTAATCCTAATCCTATTATATAAATAACAAATTGATTCTCTAAAAATTACATGCGCAATATACAAAAAGAAAAAAAGGCTTTTTTCAGGACAAACGTGCATACGTGAGAGTCTCATGCACATTTAAATGATGACTTTAGATCTTTAGTGGGTTTGAAAAGAAAAAAGAAAAAGAAATTCTTAAATTGCTCATAAAGTTCAAGAATCTCTCGACTCTCATGCATCAAACAAAGCCACATGCAGTAGTGGCTTAGCGTTATGTTTAGTCACCAATAGGTTTGTGGTATGCATGGTAGCACCTCTTGGCATAAGGTGCTGGGTTCCAATCTCCCTTGGTTCTAGGAATCGAACCAGCACCTCTTATCTTGATGTTATGCCTGAAGGTCTTGTGATGTCCATGGTGTTTCCTGCATTTGTTATGTGTTCTTCACATTGAAATTTTTATTGGGACCAAGCAGATGCTGGAATGGAGCAAAACCTGGGTATCAAATGTTGCTGGAGAGATTGCAATTGTTCTTGCATTAGCAATGTGGGTGACTAGCTCTTACCGTATTAGGCTTAAAATGTTTGAGGTTTTCTTCTACACCCACCAACTATATATTCTCTACATAGTCTTCTATCTATTGCATGTTGGTGCTGCCTACTTCTGCATGATATTGCCTGGGATCTTCCTCTTTATCATCGACCGATACCTGAGATTCTTACAGTCACAGCGACGGGCAAGATTAGAGTCAGCTCGTCTCTTACCTTGTGGTATTATCGAGCTGACTTTCTCCAAGAGTCCAGGTAAGAACACATTTTGACCTAGATGCAGCAATGGAAACATTTTATATCATTATGATTTGATTTCCTTTTCCTCTTTCAGGGCTGTATCATAATCCAACAAGCATACTTTTTCTAAATGTCCCTAGCATTTCGAAACTACAATGGCATCCTTATACTATAAGTTCAAGCTGCAATATGGAGCAAGATAAGCTAAGTGTAGTTGTCAAAAGACTGGGAAGTTGGTCCCAAAAGCTTTACCAAGAAATTTCTTCTCCGCTGGAACGTCTTGAAGTATCTGTTGAAGGACCCTATGGACCTGCTTCATCTCATTTTCTAAGGTTAGTTTACCACCAGGAAAGAAGTCCTGTGTTTAGAAAACTGTCGTGAATTTCTGATATCAAGCTCATCAAGTTTGATTTACCTTTCCACAGGCATGAGTTGCTGGTTTTAGTGAGTGGAGGTAGTGGCATCGCTCCCTTTATATCCATAATCCGAGAGATCATGTCCGAAAGCTCGAAACCGAACTGTCAAATTCCTGAGTCCTTCTTGTTTGTGCGTTCAAGAACGCAGCTGATCTTGCCATGCTAGACCTTTTGCTTCCGATCAATGGCACACCTGCCAACACATCCCAAATGCAGCTGCAAATTGAAGCCTATATCACAAGAGAGGAAGAGCAGCATATCGCAGATAACCTAAAGCTTCTCCAAACCATTTGGTTCAAACCAAACCAAATGGACTCGCCGATTTGTGCAGGTCTAGGCCACAACAATTGGCTATGGCTTGGTGCAATAATAGCTTCGTCATTTGTCATGTTCCTTCTCATACTAGGCATCGTCACGCAATACTATATCTACCCAATTGATCACAACACTGAGGAGATATACCATTTTTCCTATTTTGTACTATGGGACATGTTTTTGCTTTGTGCCTGCATTTTTATAACTTCTAGTGCAGTCTTTCTTTTCTGCAAGAAAGAGCATGCCATGGAAGGGAAGCAAATTCAGAACTTAGAAGTTTCTACTCCTACAGCATCACCAGGTTCATGGTTTCACAACTCGGATAGAGAGCTCGAAAGCCTTCCTCATCAATCACTTGTTCAAGCTACCAAGGTGCATTTTGGTGCAAGGCCTGATCTTAAGAGTAAGTAAATATAACTAAAACATTAATTTCCATCTTCAAATCACTTCAATATATAGATTGCAATCTTTTTTCCATTTTTCTTATAGAACTAATCATTTCCTGTTGGCATTGCAGGAATTTTTTTCGATTGCAAAGCCTCAGATGTTGGAGTACTAGCTTGTGGACCAAGGAAAATGCGACATGAGGTTGCCAAAATTTGTTCATCTGGTTTAGCAGATAACTTGCACTTTGAATCCATTAGCTTCAACTGGTGATGTTAGATATTACTAGAGAGGGAAAAAATGGGGTTTGGTGATCAGTACCATCCACAGCTACAGCAAGAACTTTTTCTTTGTGAATAAGTACAATAATTTTATTGTAAATTCTTACTTTGTGTGCTTTATAAACCTTTTTTTATGGAGTGGTAAAAAGGTTTTTTAAACTCACTATATAGAAGTTCGGTTCTCATTTTTTAAAAACTTATCCCACTTGACCAATCCAAGTTGTAGAATTAACTAAAAATTAGATGTGATTTGATACTTATCTATTCTAAAAAATAATTGACTATTCTCGATTAATACAAAATAAAATTTGAAAATATCTTATTATGAAAAAAAAATCTTTATTTATGAAGTGATAAAAGGAGTATTTTTAACTCATTAGATTAAAAATTATATTCTCATTTTTTTAAAATTCATCTCTTTTTAGGGAATTTAATTCTTAAAATTAACTAAAAGTTAGATGTGATCTAACACTTATCTGTCTCAAAAATTAATAAACGTAATCTCGATTAATATAAAAATTAACTCAAAAATATTTTTATTATAGAAAAGAAAAAAAAAACTTTTTGAAATTAGTTTTTCTTTCTTTTTCTGGGCCACTCCACCCCAAAAGGAAATGTGAGTTTGAAGTGGTTTGTCTTAAGTTACTAATTATATAATGTACAAAAGAAATGTAAAGATTGAAGCAAATCATTAGTTTGTACAATAACTAGCTAGACTCCTTTTTGCCTTCACTTTTTCAGAAAGTTGTTATCCACATTTCTTTGTTAGAACTGGAAAGTTATAATGTTAACGAAAATCTGTAATAAAACCAAAAGCATCTTTATGCAGAGACAAACACAAAAGTCCAACCCATTTGAAGATATGAGAAATTGTGGGTGATAGCTAGTTTTAGTTAGTAAGGTTATTGGACATGATACTAGTTCATATCTAGTTGTTTTACTTTACACGTCTGGTCAAATCAATCCCTTTATTTTTAGATGAAATCAAATCAACCCCATTCACTTCTAACAAACACCACAAAAAAATTTACAAATAACGACATAAATTAACGAGCAAATTTAAGTTTGTCACTAAATAATGATAGATTAACAAACTAATTACGCTCGTTATCAAGATATGGATTTCGGAGACGGGATATCAAAATGGATTAATGACGAATTTGCAACAACGGACTTAATCCGTCCATGAATATTTGCGGGTATTTAGGGATGATTTAGTAAAGGAATTACGAGAGCAATCAATGATGGAATAACAAATTGCATCGCTATTTTTGGATTTAGAATTAGCGACGGAATGCATATATTTTTCTCACAAATTAGCGACCAAAATTCCATCGTTAATATTGAAAAAAGAATGAACTTTTGAAATTCAAAATCCAACGCCGATTAGAGATGGATTAAAGACAGAATCGCATCCATCACTAACCCAAATCCCTAAATGGCTAGTACCATTCATCACTAAAAATTAATAACGACAAAAAATATTGGTATAACTACAAAAAATCTATCGTCGTTGACGAGTTGTTTTTATATAGTGAAAGCAACTCAATATTCTCCGTCCATTTATGTTATAACACATAGCATTCATCTAATCATAACAACGACAAATAAAGGAGTGGCAAGCATCCCTTTAAAAGAAACTAAAATTTGAGAAATTATTATGTGTATTAGTATGTAGTTGTACTCCTTTTTCTCACGAAAATACAGAATTTATTATGCAAATAATCAATAGATTTTCTCTTTATACGAAAAAAAAAAAAAAAGAATACAATTCTAGCTATATAGAATAATTTCTCCCAAAGTTTGGGAAAGAAGAAGGTTATCAATTAGCAATTACCACTTGTCCGTAGTACTTGAAGACTAGATTAACCTCTAATGATCCAAAAATCATTTCTCACAAATTGAGAAATGAGAAAGGTGACAGAACAGTGTCAACGAGTTATGTTTTTGCAAATCATTCATTAGCTCAATGGTCAATTCCACCGATCTCTTTCCATAAAATATGAAAGCATGCAGTTCCCATTTCCATAGAAATTTCTTCGATATAGAAATATATACTTTGCTAAATTATTAACAATCACCATTTTTGTCTCTAATAATATGTTTCCACTAATAGAACCATTAAGGTATGTAAGATCAAAATTTTTTTTAGAAAGATAAAAACGATTAAATAAACATTTCTTTTATTCGAGAAAACAAGTTATAAATCCATCACAAATTCAATATAGAATATTGTGACTTTTAGATTTATATATATATATATATATATATTCCATTTTTGTAATTATTTCAAAATACCATTTTGTCTTTCAAAAATGTCCCTTTTCAAGTTATCGATTTTTTTCTTTTTTGGTTTGGTAATTAGAGAACATAGTTTTAGGGTTGATAGTTTTTTTTTTTTTTTTAATCCTCCAAAATATCTCAAGATCAAAGATTTAGACAAATCTTTCATTGTTTTGTTAGATACACAAGACAAAGATAGCAATCAAGAGAGTTTTTATATACATAAGAACACGAACGCGAAATTACTTGTTTAAACAATTAAAATCTACTCAAACATAGTTTTAGGGTTGATAGTTGATATAAAGATAGAATGCTATATTAATAAATGCATATTAAATAATTGTCTATCATAATTTAATATTCATTATTTTTTTTCATAATACTTCTTCTATATCAAATATTTTATACATTTATTTTTTTCCTGAATAATAATTTTCCTAATCAAATCAAACTTACCCCTCAAAGGAATTTCCTAATTAATTTTTCTAGGTTATTATTCATTATAAGGATCCCATTATAAACTTAATTTGTTCATTGTGGCTTGATCGAAAACTAAATTCTCTACCAGAAGAAACTTTAAAGAGTACGTCCTCTCGTCTCTTCTCTCTTATGTTTTACTATTTTCAAATTTTAATTTTTGTGAAAAATTATAATTCCTTGAATTTTGTCTTGTAATTATTTTCTTGTGATTAGGCTTTACATTGCGTAAAATCTTGAAAAAGAACTTGTAAACTTGTTCAATGAATTTATTAAAATAGAATATAAAAAACACACACACACAATTTAATTAGCTCTTATAGTGATTCTTATTTTCGTTTGTGCAATTTTGAATTTTATTTTGTTGTTGTGTATACCATGTTGGTTGTTAAATTTTTATTTTTTACTTTGTTGATTAGTAGGGCTTCTTAAACTTTTGCTCCCATGTATATGTTATCTTTTCATTTTTCTTGGGCATGAAAAGTTGTAACTTTAAAATTAAAGGTAAAATAGTTCAATATGTACTTATACAATAAGATAATTTTTTTTTAATTTATTCTCATATTTTTAATTGAATCATTTATACCTTTGAATATATATTAAGTTTCTAATATATATTTTTATTAAGATTTTCAAATCAAATCATTAGAAGAAATTGTGCATGGCAGCATCGCCAACATTCTTCCCCTCTCTTCTTTCTCTCTTTTTGCTCTCTATCTTTCTTTTTTCTTTTTTTCTTTTTTTTGGTTGCCTTTTTTCCTATCTTTGGCTGCTAAGGTCTTCTATTTCTCTAACATGCCACTGATGCGTCCTCATGTTGAGATGAACTTAATATCTTAACAATCTGTAACCAAATGAAAGGGACATAAGATTGGTTTAGCACATAATTATGCATCTCAATATTCGAAAATATGCACATAAAACGTCATTTTGGATAAATCATTCTGTTCAGTGCATATGAAAAGATTTATATATTTGTTTACAACATATTCTGCAGTTTTTTTTTTTTTTATGTCTTTTCCGGCTTATAAGAGGCATTTTCTCATATTTAAGTGGTATTGACTTTCCAGACTGAGCCAAATCACATTCTCACCAGCATGTAACTTGCAAATTAATGGGGTCATAAATGTGCATGAATCATGCTGTTTCTTTGCATTTCTACTAATGATGGTAGCCTACAAGAAAGGTCTTACGTTGTATATAGATTCTTTTCGAGGTCGATAAATTCCAACTTAGTGTGAAGACCTCTATTCCATAGGAACTGAAAAAGCAAGAAGATGAGCAACATGAGAGTCTTCAGGCTAGTCTTCCTTGTGGTGTTTCTTGGATGGCTCATGAGTTGGATTATGTTGCCGACAAAGTTATACAAAAATAGGAGGACTCCCAGTGCCAAGCTAGACAGCAAACTTAATTCAACATATTTTGCAGCACAAGGTTGTTTGATTGCCATCGCTAAATTACTGTTTTTTGTAGTGAATTAGCGTTAAGTATGGTAATGGAATGAGTTTTTGCTCCCCCATTTATACCTTATATTAATCAGGTTTTGGGGAGGAAAGAATTTTTATCGAATTTGAAGCGGGTTCTGAGATTTTCTTATATATTTTTTTAATTACAATATAATAGTTAATAGTTAATACACAATGTACAAATAATATTAGGTTCATATAAACAGTAAAAATTTGTACCCCACTTTACTCAATAATTTTCTCATAACACACAATTCAGGATGAAAGGTTTTTGACAACCTTTTAAAATATTTACAACGGTAATCTGGGTTTGTAAGAAGAGAAAAAACGAGGAAACTGTGGGTTTTGGAGGCAGGAAGAGAGAGGGAATAAAAATATAAAGAAGAATTGCATGGAGAGGCAGAGCTAAAGTCTAGGGATTTTTTGGGTTTTAATTGAGAAGGCATTGGCACAAGAATAATCGCGTCAAAATAAGGGAGAAAAAGATCCCAAACCAACAATTATGCTTTCCTGTCCAGATAACTAGCTTAAATCATTCGCCCAATTGAATTTTTTTTTTCCTACCATTGGTACAGGCACAAATCTTCTGCTCTTTTCTTTCCCTGTCGTTTTCATAGCTGCCTTAGGGTCTGTTTATCTCCATTTACAGAAGAAGCTGGAAAAGCCAAACTCCAAAAGGTTGTCTTTCATCAGTTCTTTCTAGTGTTTTGATATTAAAGAGAAAAATGTAATGCTTCGGAGATTATCACATTACTGTACATTATACTTGTTGCAGTGTTGTTACAAGAAATCGTTTGTCCTTCTTAAGACGTCCAGCAATTGTGATGGCTCCTTTGGAATTGTGACTGCAATGGAGCTTGCTTTTGCAGCCATGTTTATTGCACTCTTGATCTGGTCTCTTGCCAACTACTTGTATGTCAATTTTGGTCATCTCTACATGCATAAAGTAGGGGAGAAAGTGTAAGATCCCTTTCATCTTTTTGTTCATTCTCACTGTAGCTAGAATCCATTTTGCATGAAAAGAACTAATTCTTCATCTTCTACTTCTTCAAAATTCATAAACTAACATGTTTCTTTTCGTCCATTAATCGGCTTTTGCAGGTGGAAAGCTAAGTTTCGAAGTGTGTCATTGAGACTTGGATATGTTGGAAACATATGCTGGGCATTTCTCTTCTTTCCTGTCACACGAGGATCTTCGATTCTGCCTCTCGTTGGGCTTACATCTGAATCCAGTATCAAGTATCATATCTGGCTCGGTCATCTTTCCATGATTCTTTTTGCTGCACATACCGTCGGTTTCATCATATACTGGGCGATGACTAATCAAATGGCTCTGGTACTTGAAATTACTGCTAATCTTATCTAACTAGACTTTCGTGGTCAATAATATTGTGGCCTTTAGCTATTGTGTGTTTATACTTTTTATCCTATGATTCTGATTGTTTTGTCCTCAGAATATCTGATCAAAGGTGTGGAATTCCTTCCAACTTTTTGTGTGATTAGAGCTTTATCATCAATCTTTTCTTGCAAATCAATCATGTTGTCTTTCTTGTTGGGCAGAAGGGAGGGACCATGAAAGTGGTCTTAGATTCCTTTTGCTCAAAACTTTTCTTTCTTTGTCATGTTAAAAGTGAGGGGAAACAGCCCTGTATATATATATATATAACGGGACAGTGTCTAAAATGAAAGCATTGATTCTCTAAAAATATAAAAACATATTGAATACTAATCCTAATCCTATTATATAAATAACAAATTGATTCTCTAAAAATTACATACGCAATATACAAAAAGAAAAAAGGCTTTTTTCAGGACAAACGTGCATACGTGAGAGTCTCATGCACATTTAAATGATGACTTTAGATCTTTAGTGGGTTTGAAAAGAAAAAAGAAAACGAAATTCTTAAATTGCTCATAAAGTTCAAGAATCTCTCGACTCTCATGCATCAAACAAAGCCACATGCAGTAGTGGCTTAGCGTTATGTTTAGTCACCAATAGGTTTGTGGTATGCATGGTAGCACCTCTTGGCATAACGTGCTGGGTTCCAATCTCCCTTGGTTCTAGGAATCAAACCAGCACCTCTTATCTTGATGTTATGCCTGAAGGTTTAGTGATGTCAATGGTGTTTCCTGCATTTGTTATGTGTTCTTCACATTGAAATTTTTATTGGGACCAAGCAGATGCTGGAATGGAGCCAAACCTGGGTATCAAATGTTGCTGGAGAAATTGCAATTGTTCTTGCATTAGCAATGTGGGTGACAAGCTCTTACCGTATGAGGCTTAAAGTGTTCGAGGTTTTCTTCTACACCCACCAACTATATATTCTCTACATAGTCTTCTATCTATTGCATGTTGGTGCTGCCTACTTCTGCATGATATTGCCTGGGATCTTCCTCTTCATCATCGACCGATACCTGAGATTCTTACAGTCACAGCGACGGGCAAGATTAGAGTCAGCTCGTCTCTTACCTTGTGGTAGTATCGAGCTGACTTTCTCCAAGAGTCCAGGTAAGAACACATTTTGACCTAGATGCAGCAATGGAAACATTTTATATCATTATGATTTGATTTCCTTTTCCTCTCTCAGGGCTGTATTATAATCCAACAAGCATACTTTTTCTAAATGTCCCTAGCATTTCAAAACTACAATGGCATCCTTATACTATAAGTTCAAGCTGCAATATGGAGCAAGATAAGCTAAGTGTAGTTGTCAAAAGACTGGGAAGTTGGTCCCAAAAGCTTTACCAAGAAATTTCTTCTCCGCTGGAACGTCTTGAAGTATCTGTTGAAGGACCCTATGGACCTGCTTCATCTCATTTTCTAAGGTTAGTTTACCACCAGGAAAGAAGTCCTGTGTTTAGAAAACTGTACCACCTGGAAAGAAGTCCTGTGTTTAGAAAACTGTCGTGAATTTCTGATATCAAGCTCATCAAGTTTGATTTACCTTTCCACAGGCATGAGTTGCTGGTTTTAGTGAGTGGAGGTAGTGGCATCACTCCCTTTATATCCATAATCCGCGAGATCATGCCCGAAAGCTCCAAACCGAACTGTCAAGTTCCTCGAGTCCTTCTTGTTTGTGCATTCAAGAACGCAGCTGATCTTGCCATGCTAGACCTCTTGCTTCCAATCAATGGCACACCTGCAAACATATCCCAATGCAGCTGCAAATTGAAGCCTATATCACAAGAGAGGAAGAGCAGCCTATCGCAGATAACCTAAAGCTTCTCCAAACCATTTGGTTCAAACCAAACCAAATGGACTCGCCGATTTGTGCAGGTCTAGGCAACAACAATTGGCTATGGCTTGGTGCAATAATAGCTTCATCATTTGTCATGTTCCTTCTCATACTATGCATCGTCACGCAATACTATATCTACCCCATTGATCACAACACTGAGGAGATATACCATTTTTCCTATTTTGTACTCTGGGACATGTTTTTGCTTTGTGCCTGCATTTTTATAACTTCTAGTGCAGTCTTTCTTTTCTGCAAGAAAGAGCATGCCATGGAAGGGAAGCAAATTCAGAACTTAGAAGTTCCAACTCCTACAGCATCACCAGGTTCGTGGTTTCGCAACACGGAGAGAGAGCTCGAAAGCCTTCCTCATCAATCACTTGTTCAAGCTACCAAGGTGCATTTTGGTGCAAGGCCTGATCTTAAAAGTAAATACAACTTAAACATTAATTTCCATCTTCAGATCACTTAAATAGATTGCAATCTTTTTTCTATTTTTCTTATAGGACTAATCATTTCCTGTCGGCATTGCAGGAATTTTGTCCGATTGCAAAGCCTCAGATGTTGGAGTCCTAGCTTGTGGACCAAGGAAAATGCGACATGAAGTTGCCAAAATTTGTTCATCTGGTTTAGCAGATAACTTGCACTTTGAATCCATTAGCTTCAACTGGTGATGCTAGATATTACTCGAGAGAATAAAAAAGAGGTTTGGTCTGTACCATCCACAGCTACAGCAAGAAATCTTTCTTTGTGAATAAGTACAATAACTTTGTTGTAAATTCTTACTTTGTGTGCTTTACAAACCTTTTTTTATGGAGTGGTAAAAAGGTTTTTTTAACTCACTGGATAGAATTTCGATTCTCATTTTTTTAAAACTTATCCCTCTTGAAGAATCTAATTTTTAGAATTAACTAAAAATTAGATTTGATTTGGTACTGATCTATTTTAAAAAATAATTGACTATATTCTCGATTAATATAAAATTTAATTTAAAAATATCTTATTATGAGAAAAAAAAATCTTTATTTATGGACTAATAAAAGGAGTATTTTTAAATCATTAGATTAAAATTTTGATTCTCATTTTTTAAAAAACTCATCTTAATTCTTAAAATTAACTAATCTAACACTTATCTATCTCATAAAATAATAAATATAATCTCGATTAATATAAAAACTAACTCAAAAATATTTTTATTATAGAAAAGAGAAAAAAACTTTTTGAAATTAGTTTTTCTTTCTGTTTTCTGGGCCACTCCACCCCAAAAGGAAATGTGAGTTTGAAGTGGCGGGTCTTAAGTTACTAATTATATAAAGTACAAAAGAAATGTAAAGATTGAAGCAAATCATTAGTTTGTACAATTACTAGACTGCTTTTTGCCTTTACTTCTTCAAAAAGTCGTTATCCACATTTCTTTGTTAGAACTGGAAAGTTATAATGTTAACAAAAATCTGTAATAAAACCAAAAGTATCTTTATGCAGAGACGAACACAAAAGTCCAACCCATTCGAAGATATGAGAAATTGTGGGTGATAGCTAGTTTTAGCTAGTAAGGTTATTGGACATGATACTAGTTCATATCTAGTTGTTTTACTTTACACATTTGATCAAATCAATCCCTTTATTTTTAGATGAAATCAAATCAACCCCATTCACTTCTAACAAACACCACAAAAAAATTTACAAATAACGACAGAAATTAACAACAATTTTAAGTTTTTCACTAAATAATGATGGATTAACAAACTAATTACGACTATTATGAAGAGATGGATTTTAGAGACGGGATACCAAAATGGATTAATGATGAATTTGCAACAACGGACTTAATCTGTCAATGAATATTTAGGGGTATATAGGGATGATTTAGTAACGGAATTACGAGAGCAATCAACGATAGAATAACAAATTACGTCGCTATTTTTGGGGTTACAATTAGTGACTCGAATGCATATATTTTTCTCACAAATTAGCAACAAAAATTCCGTCGTTAATATTGAAAAAAGAATGAATTTTTGAAATTCAAAATCCAATGCTAATTAAAGATAGATTAACGATGGAATCGCATCCGTCATTAATCCAAATCCCTAAATGGCTAGAACTATCCGTCACTAAAAATCAATAGCAACGAGAAAATATTGGTATAACTACAAAAAATCTCATCACTATTTGACGAGTTTTTTGTATAGTGAAAGCAACTCAATATTCTCCGTCAATTTACATTATAACACATAGCATTCATCTAATCATTCAAATAGTAACAATGACAAATAAAGGAGTGGCAAGTACCCCTTTAAAAGAAACTAAAATTTGAGAAATTATTAGGTGTATTAATACATATTTGTACTCCTTTTTCATACAAAAATACAAAATTTTCTCTTTATACGAGAAAAAAAATACAATTCTAGATATACGAGTGTAACATCCAATATAAATTTTTCATATTATGCATGTGTATGCTTGTATTAGTATGTTTTGACTATATATATATGACATCTTATAAATTGTTTATCCTTTAGTTGTGGTGTTTGGATTATATGTGTCTTGGAGATTGAGAGGCAATAAGGTGTTTTGGAGTTAATTGAATAAATTTAAGGATATGAACGAGTTTTATTGGAAGTTGAGAGACTACTTTAAAAGTTGGATATAATTATAAGGACCATGTAGTAATTTTGACATCCTTTTTTTATGCCTTTGCTAGAACCATACGGGTTCCATTATTCTTCTCTCTCTTCCCACTTTTTCTCTTCCCCTTTTCTTCTTCTCCATAACCCAATCAAACACCCTTTTCTCCACACTTGTTTTCTAACATTTCTCATCACTAAACAACCTTATATTAAGATAGTTATGATGATCAAAATGGGTTTTAAGCAAAATTAGAGCTTGAAAAGTTGTTGTTCGGAGGTTAATTTCGAACCCAAAAGAGAAAGGTGTGTTCTTGCCATAATTTCTAGTTATTTTTGGATGTTATATGGTGTTTTTTATGTTAGTTTCTAATGGGTTTGTCTTTTGAGTAAAACCAACCAAGACTTTCGACTTAAAGCATCAGCTACAACATTAGCTTTACCTGGATAGTAATGAAGAACAATATCATAATCTTTCAATACCTCAAGCCACCTTCTCTGCCTCATATTGAACTCCTTCGAGTAAAGAGTACTTGAGACTCTTATGGTCGGTATAGATCACCTCAAGCTAATCAATTCCTATAATTAAATCAATAATTCATCAAAATTCTCATACTATACAAACTTAAATTCAACTCAACCAACCTCACAATAATAAATATTCACAAAAACTCCAATTCCGAGCATAACATCACATAATTTCTCGATTAATGAAATCTAACCATTTAAATCTCAATCTATCTTAATAAAACACAAGCTCAAAGCAAAACAATCTTCGATTAATCAATTAAAACCACTTAATCAACTTTTTTTCAAAATTGGATATCAACCCTAACTTCTTTAATATCACTCGAAGTTTAACATTTCCCCAAAGTGTTGTTCAATGTTTATAACTGAAGTTCAAACATTTGTACGAGTTTATGTTTTAAAGCAACATGGCCGAGTGCCTTTTTACACTGCAAGTCATGTATGTTTGTTGGATTAAGTTCTTTTTTTTAGGATATGAAAATGAGTTATATTTGGTTTTGTTTGAGCTGTATTATATGCCCGTTTTGTTTGACTGTAGCATCTCTCTCGCTTGGGATGCCATCATGAATGGATCCGGGCATGGGGCGCTACATATAGAATAATTTCTTCCAAAGTTTGGGCAAGAAGAAGGTTATCAATTAGCAATTACCACTTGTCGGTATTACTTGAAGACTAGATTAATCTCTAATGATCCAAAAATCATTTCTCATAAATTAAGAAATGAGAAAGGTGACGAGCGAGTGTGAACAGAGTTATGTTTTTGCAAATCATTCATTAGCTTAATGGTCAAATTCCACCAATCTCTTTCCATAAAATATGAAAGCTTGCGGTTGCCATTTCCATAAAAATTTCTTCGATATAGAAATATCTAGTTTGCTAAATTATTAACAATCACCATTTTTGTCTCTAATAAGGACACCTTAACATAATATGTTTCCACTAATAGAACCATTGAGGTATGTAAGATCAATTTTTTTTTTTTAGAATGATAAAAACGATTAAATAAACATTTTTTTATTCGGAAAACAAGTTATAAATCGATCACAAATTCAATATAGAATATTACGACTTTTACATTCACACATATTCAGAAAAGTATTGCATCCAAAATTTAGGGTACCTCCGTAAAAAGAATTAATTTGACATAAACATTAACCTTGAGTCCTTTTTCAATATATATGTGTGTAAAATTTTGCCATTTTTGCAATTATTTCAAAATACCATTTTGTCTTTCAAACATTTCCTTTTTTTAAGTTATCATATTTCTTTCTTTTTTTTTAAATCCTCTAGAATATCTCAAGATCAAAGGTTTAGACTAATATTTCATTGTTCTATTAGATGCACAAAACAAAAATAGCTATCTAAAAAGTTTTTTGTATTCACAAGAACACGAATCCGAAACCACTTGTTTAAACTACTAGAGATCTTTCCACTCGAACATAGTTTTAGGGTTGATAGTTGATATAAAGATAGAATGCTATATTAATAAATGCATATTAAATAATTGTATATCATAATTTAACATTCATTATTTCTTCCATGATACTTCTTCTCTATCAAACATTTTATACATTTATTTATTTCCTGAATAAGAATTTTCCTAATCAAATCAAACTCACCCCTAAAAGGAATTTCCTAGTTAATTTTTCTAGGTTATTATTCATTATAAGGATCCCATAATAAAATTAATTTGTTCATTGTGGTTTGATCAAAAACCAAATTCTCAACTAGAAGAAACTTTAAAGAGTACGTCCTCTCCTCTCTTCTTTCTTATGTTTTACTATTTTCAAATTTCAATTTTTGTGAAAAATTATAATTTCTTGAATTTTCTCTTGTAATTATTTTCTTGTGATTGGGCTTTACAATGCATAAAAGCTTGAAAAAGAACTAGTAAACTTGTTCAATGAATTTATTAAAATAGAATATTAAAAAAAAAAACACAATTTAATTAGATCTTATAGTGATTCTTATTTTCGTTTGTGCAATTTTGAATTTTATTTTATTGTTGAATACACCAAGTTGGTTATTAATTTTTATTTTTTACTTTGTTGATTAGTAGGGTTTCTTAAAACTTTTGCTCCCATATATAAGTTGTTTTTTCTTTTTTCTTGGGCATGACAAGTTGTAGCTTTAAAATTTACGGTAAAATAGTTCAATATGGACTTATATAATAAGTTATTTTTTTAATTTGTTCTTCTATTTTTAATCGAATCATTTATATTTTTGAATATATGTTAAGTTCCTAACATATCTTTTTATTAAGATTTTCAAGTCAAATTAATAGAAAGAAATTGTGTATGGGCAGCATGCTAACATTCTTCCCCTCTCTCCTTTCTCTCTTTTTGCTCTTTTTTTTTGGTTGCTTTTTTTCTATCCCTGGCTGCTAAGGTTTTCTGTTTCTCTAACATGCCACTGATGCGTCCCCATGTTGAGATGAACTTAATATCTTAACAATCTGTAACCAAATGAAAGGGACATAAGATTGGTTTAGCACATAATTATGCATCTCAATATTCGAAAAT